GTACGCACCTACCGGCGGGGAATGAGGGACCGAGGCGAGCGACCCGCTCCCCAAGAGGTGGAGCGGGAGCGCCGCCTCGCGGCGCAGCGCATGCGGGACCGGTGGAAAGAGGGCTTGGCGGATCCCCCCTATGGCGCTCGTACCATAGAGGCGATCCGCCCTGTCCTCGTAGAGTGGGTAAACCGGTCCCACGGGCCAATGTCGTACCACCTTATGCAGGTGCTGACCGGGCACGGCTGCTTCGGTCACTACCTGCACAAGGTGGCGAGGAGGGAACCGTCCCCGTCGTGCCACGAGTGCGGCGCAGCGGATGACACCGCGCAGCACACCCTAGAGGTGTGTAGCCGGTGGGATGAGCAGCGCCGCGCTCTGACGGGGACTGTAGGGCAGGACCTCTCGCTGCCGAGCGTGGTTGCCGCCATGCTCGATAGCGAGGAGTCCTGGGAGGCGGTGGCCTCCTTTTGCGCAGAGGTTATGTCGCAAAAGGAGGCCGCGGAGCGGGTGTGCGAGGACGCGGCGGACGCGCACCCGCTCCGGCGCAGACGTACGGGGAGAAGGCGAAGGCAGTTCGCTGCTCGCCTGATCCCCTAGTGAGGCCAGCGGGCTCTGGGCAGGGACTCCGGAGCCTGCATTGCATGGCCTCACTCGTCTGGGGGGCGGGTCGGAGGACAACCGACTCGCAAACGTGACGTCCACGATTGACCCCCCATTTCGCCGACTGCCACCCAATTCTCCAACTCTGGCCCCCTGGCATTGCTGACCGGGGAACCCCACGCAGCGCTCTTGGCGTTGAGGTCCCCCATCACCAACACCGGCGCCGGAGCTGCCCTCCTCACCGCCCTCTGTAGGGTCTCCAGGAACGCCTGAAATTGGGCCAGGGAGCGATTTGGAGAGAAGTACCCCCAATTAGGGTGATTTCTCCCCACTTCGCTGCCACAAACCCTGACCCGCGCTCCTTCACCACTAGATGGGGGGAGTTCCCGGCAGTCGACGCCACTATGGCCACCGTCTCCTCCCGATCCTCCGCCTAGTTTCCCCGTGGGGGAACAAAGTATGGCTCCGCCACAACCGCCACCGCAACCCCCCACTCCGCCATGGCCTGGACCAATAGGTCTTGAGCCCTGGCGCAGTGGTTGAGGTTGCCCTGCAGTATTGTGTAGTGGCGTGCTGGCATCACTCGTCCATACTCTGTCCTTCAACATGGGGGGGGGGAAGGAGCGCAAGATCGCCCCCCCATTAGGTGCTCGTGCTAGGAAAAATCTAATTGGTTCAGTCAACTGACCGGGACAACTAGTGGGAATAAAGGTTTTTATGGCACAAGTCGTGCACCTGGTGGAAAGCGACACGCCTACCCATGTCAGTTGCAGTACCTACTCAGAGCTATAAATTACAAAGCTCTGAACAGCACTGCCACTGCGCCCATCACCCTGGAACATAGGTTAACTAGTCCCATGTGCCTGCAATTTCACTAGTACTCCCACCCTACAAAACCGGAGCGTAGTTAAGTTCACCATTACTGTTGGCGACAGAGATATGTAAGGTGGTAACACTTCCCTGGGCAAACATTTGCACAAGGAGCTCTTCTGCTACTTACGGGTACAAACGGCTACGGGTGAATGCCACTAAGTAAAGATCATATATGTCAAACCGGAGTTGTACGTTAATTTTCTCATTTGCATTGAGGTCCACCATAACACTAGAATTTGCATCGTTTTTTACATTGGAAATCTTGAATTAATTCAAAACGATTTTAAAATCAAAACGTTTTTTGAACGAAATATTGACGTACTTATTTTAAAATTAGTTATAAATATTCTAAATATCTTTTCTATTTTTCAAAATGTATTTTAGTGAACAAAATTACAAGGAATATTGACTAAATAATGTTCTATTTACTCTGGAATTTCATTAGAACATTCTCCTTACCGTATCGCTCGTGACGTACAGGAAAGAAATGGTATGTCGTGCGGGGCTCTTTTCGTGCACCCTAATCCTTAGAACATCAGAATTAGCCTTGCTTTTTGTTATTTAGCTAATTAAAGCGGTCAGCTAATTTTTTCAGTTTATGTCGTATATATGCTTTAAATAAAATATTCTGACTAAATAAAACTGCCGACTTATATTAACTAATATTGACATGTAATAAAAAACAATTGTTTTTTTTTATTGCTGCAATCAGAGAGCTAAGCTCTTGACAGTTATCGTGCGTAGTTTCAAGAAACAACTTATTTTAGTAATAGTTACAATAAAATAATGTTATTATAAGTAGTCATATTACTCATGCGCAAATTAAGGAAACATTAAAATAACTTCATCCATATTGTATATTTAACAAAATAACAATACGCGCACCATAAGTTTCCGGAACTGACCACTTACATAAACAATATTTAAAAAGTAATTACAACATTTGAAAATGGAACTCTTTGGCTGTAGAATACAGTTTGTTTCATCTGACTGTCACTTGTTTTTACATTGTAGCGTCATTTTAGAAATTGGTTGTCTACATCACCATGGATTTAACTCGTCAAAATTTTCGTAGTAAGATTTTCTACGACTTTAAGTGTAATTGAACAGCTCAGCGGAGCTTCACTCGGCTTCAAACTGCTTTTGGCGATGAAGCACTATGCAAGACGACTATTTATAGCTAGTTTGCAGAATTCAAACGCGGTCGTGTGAATCTCAGTGACGAATTTCGTGATGGTCGCCCGTCCACTGCTGTGAACAACAAAAACATCAATGCTGTGTGCCGTATGATCAAAACAGACAGGCATGTAACATACCATGAGATTCGGGTATCTTTAGGCATAGGCATAAGTCAAATACAATCAATACTACACACACATTTGGGTGTGAAAAAGCCGTGCTCTCGGTGGATCCCACACAATTTGACTGAGGCTCAAAAAACGGATCGTATCACTTGGTGCAATGCCATGCTAACCAGATTCAGTGAAGGGGCGTCGAATTTGGTGTGGGACATAGTAAAAGGTGACGAAACATGGATTTATAGTTACGATCCCAAAACGAAGCAGCAATCGACCGTATCGGTCTTTCGAGATGAACCGTAACAACCAAAGTGGCGCGCGTGCAAAGTGCCTCTAAGGGGATGATTGCTTCTTTTTTAATAAAACTGGACACGTGGCTGCTGTTGCTTTGGAGAATCGTTGTACCGTGAATAGTGATTGGTACACGACAAAAATTAAGAACCAATGACGCGGTTAACTATTTTCATCACCTGAAGAGGCAGTCGAAGAGTACGAAAAATATTTTTCAGAGATTGTCACGGAAGAGTTGCGTAAATGTTTTGTTTTTGTATCAAAATTGGTTCATTCGTATGAAAAAGTGCATTAACGCTAACGGAGAATATTTTGTAAAACAATAAATTCATTTCTGACCATTTATGGCATTTTTTTCTTATTCATTCCGAAAACTTATAGTGCGCCTCACGTATAAACAGGGCAGATTAATTTATCATTATGATTAAAAATTTTCTTTCAATAAAATGACGTCGTAATTAGGATAGACATAATTGAAGAAGTATTATTTTTCGAGAGAGTAAATTTTAAATGGTGATGCAATTTCTAAATTGTCGTAGGTGTAACTATTAGTATTGGTATTTTTGCGACCAAAAACGATGCGTCAACATTATATACTTGAAATCGGTGAATCCAGAAAGAAACATTTATTTTGTGTTTTTGCTCAAGTTTTACTTATTATTTGATGAAAAGCACTCGTTTGTATGCAAATTGTTAATTTACCAAAACAATACAAAGACTTATTCTTAATCAATAGTTTCTATTTGTACGTTATGAGTAATGAATGGTTATACAGCAAAACTATACAAAGTTGCTATTCATCTGAAAAAGCATTTAGATAGTTGGTATGTTCGAATTTTATCTACTAATATTCCCATATATAGATCTTCACGCGAAACCTTTTTATAGGATTAGAAATAAGGTTAGGTTTTTTTTTTATTATGTCAAGTGACGGGATGAACATGTCGTGCGTCTGGTGGTAAGCGGCACGCCTGTCTGAAATAAGGCATAAGTTGTAAAGTCCCATTGGCCTACAATTCTACCAGCATCCCCACCCAATGGTTTTATTGCATGATTGATCGATCTTACAACATTTAATAATGAATTTTCGTAGTAAAATAATTAGACTATTTGAAAAAGACCCATAAATACAATTATCAAATACGAATATAAATCGACTCATTTACTTAAATACAAAGTATTTAAAACTGTTTTTGTTGGCAAGCGTTAAAAACTTACTTAAAAATTACAGTTCTGATAACGCTGTATCTTATTTCCTGTCGTATTTTATTTTCAATTTTAACTTGTTTAATCGACAACTTTATATAACTAATTTTGTATGCCACGTTGTTTTTTTTCATACTACATTCTTTTAATGTTTAGTCACAGATATACATATATTTTGTATACTTGTAAAAAATACTATTGTTAGCTTTTATCAGTTTCAAAATGGAATCAAGTAAATCATGAATAAAAAAACCGAATAAAACATGTTGTTTACGTAACTCATATCAACACGTGGTAGAGTAAAAAAACTATCAAGGAAACTAAGTTGTGAATAAGCGCAAGTTCAATTTGTGATAATTAATTTTTAATGGCTAATAAAGACAAAAAACCTTAATCGTTTTTTTAAGATAAATTGCTCGACGGGTCTTATTAATAAAAATAAATTTTATAAAACAATAAAACTGCTAATTTAAGCTCCGTTTTCGTATAAATACAAATAAAAATAAAAATAGGAGCGAATGTCGAGGTCTGGTGGCCATCACCAGCTTAAACATGACGGCGCCACATTGCCTAGACGGAGGCAGTTAACATCGAACGGTCGGAGAGATCACGCGTCCATATCGAATAAATATATTCCGATAACATATAAAAAACTTTAAGAAAAACTCAGTGCAAAAGTGTACTTTGTGATTGCAGCACAAAGTATTGAAAAGTGATAATAAAAATTAATTAAGTAATTAAAACGCGTGTTTGTTTTCGACACGCATAAATGTCATAAAGCCGGCACATTGGAAATTTGATTTCTCAAGACGTCTTACGAATTGGAGTCCAATTTGAAGTTTCATCCATTGCACAGGTGAGTGACATGTAGATAATGCCTAGGCATCGGCAACTAGCATCTAGATTCTAGTTGCAGAAGTTTATTTTTAAACTTTAAACGCACGGGATGCTCAGTCAGACGCACACTATTTTTGGCTCACGAATATCTCTCCTTCTAAACCTACATTCTCGTCTCGAGTTACAAAATAATTCATGTAGAGAAAATTGTGAAATGTTATTTTTCAAAATATCTACAGTTACACTATTACACACGCATAGAAAGAAGTTATTATTAAAAATAAACAAGTATCTTCAATGCTACTGATTAAAATGTATTTAAAATTGAACCGGCCGTGTCAGAGTTTCCTGTAGCGTAACGTTAACAGGACTTTTTGAATTTGATGTAAACATTTGCTTTAACAAAACGTAAATAAGTTGTGCGCAAACATCATTTCGATCACTTGAGTAAATATGTTTATTATTTAACGTATTTCAAGTGAAATAAAATTATGATACTTCGTGCATGAATTGTAATTCGAACTTTAAATCTATGGACAATTAAGTTGTTTGAAAATAAAGATTTTTATTTTTATTCATTTTTTTAGTTAGTCCAAAGAAATAATGTTTATAGGCGTAGCGATGTCTTTTTTTAACGTGGCCTAGTTCAAACCAATCTAACAGACTCACGAAAAACATTCTGGCTATTGTTCCACTTGAGCGCGAAAATGAATAATAATCTCTTATTACGATTTCCTTACTGACACAGATTTTCTTTGTAACTAACTAAACGATACATTTAATAATAAGTATTGGAATGGGGATATGCGTACAAAGGGGGAACCTACTTCTGGCACCCTGCCGTAGAGATCAAGTTTCATTCACCTAATAATCAATACACAATAATTTTATAGTTCTACATAATATCAAATAATAATCATCTAACCTAGCTGTAGCCCTGTATTCGAATTTTTAATTAAACGGCTAACCGTATACCTAGTTAGTACCGTACGTACGTTGTATACGAAAAATATAAGCTCGAAAACTATTATTGTATCATATTTATTTTTTATTTATTATATCAAGTGACGGGATGAATATATATATCTTCATCTGAAATCGTCAATTTTTAATCGTTGGTAGTTTAAGCCGTAAATTTCGTGTCTTAAACTTCAGATATTTACTTCTAAGAATAAAAAGAAAATAAAATATTCAATTCAATAAATACTGTGTGCCTCCGACGGGGGGCAAGAAAAGTCCACCCTCATCAATGCACGTGTGGTGATGTTGTTGACGAGTTTTGGCCTCCACCATGGCCTCTTGTATACTCGAAGTGCTGGCCATATCTCCCTGCGCTAAGACACCGGCAGCTCTGGAGCCCACTGGCATCTGTCGTAGTGATGGCAAGAGACCTGACATGACAGTCATACCGTCCCACACTAGCTGTCCATAGATCGACATCCTTGGAAGCTAGGGAGATAGCTAGTGTGGAATGCAACCTGTGTGGGCACTGTAGCACCCTCCCATGTCTTTGCAAGCGTGGGCGGCGCAGGCCCTGTTGCCAGAACAGTCGAGAACCGCAATAGGCTCAAATACGCCAACCCTGCTCAATGCTATAGCTTTGTAGTTTTCTGAGGTAGAAACCCTGGGCCCTTGAGGGCCACAAACGAAACTTCTAGGGCACGAGCTGTCGGATCGCCTCGTAGACGCCTTCGGTGACCACAAAGATGGCAATTATTTCCGCCAAAAAATAAGTTTAGCTATTAAAAAAGGAAATATTGCCAACCTTCTGGGCACGATGCCCCAGGGCACGGCCTTGCAGGAAATTTTCTATTTATAAACTTTCTTGCATTATATTTTAGTTATTAGTTTGTGTTCAATAAATACTTTATTACAAAGAAAAAAAGTAGTAAGTTGCAAATTATTTGGGCCTCAATGAAATACTGTATTTTTCATTCATTAGACTTCAGGGCCCTTATTGGGCCCTGAGTTTGTGTTTTTTGCTATAAATTACCATTTTATTTGCACCGTAATTACGCAATTGACAATAGACGTTATAAAATGTACAAAAATTTGTAATCGATATAAAATGCATAATTATTTTAATACTTTTAAATAGTCCATTGCTGCTCTACAAAGATTCATTGTTACTAATATGTTATCATATTGAATTAACATCAGATTTCATGTTAAAAAGATTGAAAGAATCAATAATGGCTTATGAATGGTCCGTATGACGGACCATTCATAGGCTGTTATAATAATTTAACGATTTACATAGAAAACATGAATGAACAGCCATTATTCTCCTTCTATATAGAAGCAAAAGCTAGTATATATATACTAGCCTTCTATAATTGTTACACAGGTCAAACGATTACAGATATTATTTTGCTGTCTAGACGCACGAGAAAAACCCTTCTTTAACATAGCTCCAGAAGGTACATTTGTTCCCACGTTTCATTTACTGAACCAAGAGCTCATTTAGTTTAAAGATAGTGAATTATCAGTTAAGAGTGCGTGAGTCATAAGTTATCAAGTACGCACAATATGACCTCATCTTAAAATCTCAACACAATTAAAATTGCAGATACATACATTCGTACAGGTCATAGTGTGAATGACCTTTTCAGAATTCTATACAAAATAACTTCATTGTTAATCGTTCTGACGCTTTGTTAAACTTTAACGACAGACCACAATTTAAAAAGACTGTTAGTGTTATTTTTCTATTTCTGAATCTGCCTATCGATTTTGCATTAAAAATATATTGTTGATTTCAAAATTATTACTTTTTATTGCATTGTTTATATTAAATATTGATAAAAATTTATATAAATTGTATATATTAAAAGCCAGTTAATCTTGTTATTACCTAATTTGCTTGCTCTCTTTTAATGTTATACATAGATAAAAGAAATTGCAATTTGTATCCATTCAGAATACAAGCTAAATTGCAGTCATCATTATTTTTCATTTAACAACAGTCAAATTAAAAATAGAAGACGTATGTACCGTACATGTGGGTACCAACATAAAAACGTGAGAAATAAAAATAAAGAGGTAAATTGTTAAGAGGCGGATAACTGGGGACCATCTGTTCAAGGCTTGAGACGAAAACTAGTTTCCAGTTACTCAAAGCAATACTTGTATTGAAAATGTGAATCATGTTGACAACAATAACAATAACTACGACACACGCAACAACATGTTGTTGAAAGTGAAAATTACTCACGAAGCCTGCAAAATAAACTTCAAATATTTCATTTAATCCACCTTTTCAAAAAAATGTCATAGAACCTGATTTCTAAATTGCAATAAATGTTTTCTATTCTATTCTAATTTTTATAAGCAAATTTTAGATCCGAAAAAGATTGTTTGAAAATATAGCTGGCTGGCGATAGTGCGTATAAGTGTTTCATGAGACGAAAAATACAGCATTTTATTGAGGCCCAAATAATTTCCAACTCATTATATTTACAATTGCATACCATAATCATACATCATCCACCCTTCATCTTTATTAGGTAATATTAATGACACTTTTAATCCCCTCGCTTTTCGATTGTAACAATTGAATTTTAAACTCATTTCCCTGTATCACTTCTCGAATGTTTTTGTCTGGCTGAGGAACCCAATACGAATTATGATACAAATTGGTCGTGATATAAATATCGACGATGAAATCTGAGGAGTCCTTCTATAATTTTTTTAAATTTTGCTTTTTATAAAAAGCCTCTAAAGTAAAGGCTTTTGAAATTCGAATTTCAAGAAAATATTTAACAAAGTTAAAGCTATAAAATGAGTTCTTTTTTTAAATGAGATTCACCAAACCTTCGTAGTCAGATAGAGACAAACCTCTATAATGAAAAAAATCGTAACGTAATATGTACAAATGTAATGTATGTCTTTAATAAATTATTACACTCGAATAATAATATAACATTTTCACCAACGCGAATATTTTGAAGTAGTCTTTCGTTATGTATGTTGCTAGTAAATCATTCGGTAGAACGAACGGCAACAAATAGCTGTTATTATTATTTAAAACGATACATGGGTGTGTTATCACGCGGACTGTATAGTCAACAGCACTAGTTTGCAACAATTGTAACCAAAACGACCAGAATGCGTTTAAGTTCATTAATACAGTTAAGTTGTGTTGCTGGCTGTATATAAATAAGTTTACAATGTTAAATTACATGGCCTCTAGTGACGTAAATGAGACAATACGATTTCGTTTCGTATGTGTGTTTTGTTTCAGTTTTAGTTCAAGTCCATGATAGTGAGCAATGTTGCATGAATTATTTTTTTTGTATAGAAGAAATTAATAAGTTTTTGTTCCTATAGATACTTACTTATTTTTTATACAACATTACGATTAATGCTTCAAAACAAAGTTCCTTTGCTCGTTTCTTTTACATAGCAAACACATAAATCTGCTTCCTTCACATTTTTTACATTTACCGAGAAATTGGGAATTTCAGTCAGATTTTCTGACGTATTGCCAATTAAGGCTGAAGTATTTTTAATTTATTAGTCTAAACTTAGGGTTTATAGTAACAAAATAAAGATGGACAAAAAAAATATAAAAAAGATATAACGAGTTCTTAGGTTTACGCGATTGTTACACATAGGAAATAAAACTATTTTTTCGGATCTAAATCGCTTATATATGTTTTTTCAAAGAAACCAACGTTTCGGACCCTTTATGCAATGAATATTACACCTGTAAAGAACCTGAATAGTTGGTTTGTTTGAAAAAATAAATTACGCAATTCAGATACGAAAAAATAGTTTCATCGCCTATAAAAAAGTATTTATAAGAATGGATTGATACATGATAAATATTGATAAAAACATCGACAAGTTACAGTTTAAAAAATTGTTACATTGCATGTTGAATTTTAATGATTGATATTTTTTCAAAATGTAGTTGCGATTTAACCACAACTTGACTTTTAAAAGTGCTCTGCTGTCGTTCAGTTAGTTGTATTTTTCCTACTTATAATTATAGTGTTCGTATAGTGGTATATCATC